TTAAGTGGCTGCTTCAACAAAGCAGTCAGACTCAGGTTGCTGTGGTTCGATCCCTACAACTCAAGCCAGCCAAACCTGCCTTGAAGGCATTTGGAGCAAAAAAAAAAAATCTTAATTTTGAAAATTTTTCCCATTTTCACATTATGGATCTTCTGTTTCAATTTAAGTTGTATTAAAAATAACATTTTTGGGGGGGCTGGCAAAATAGCTCAGCGGTCTAAAGCGCCTGCTTAGGCAAACTTAGGCACAGGGGACCTCGGTTTGATCCCTGGCACCACATGCCATGCCAGGTCTGCCCTCAGAGTGGGCTCAGCCGCTGCCTCCTCCCCTCCAAAAAAAATACATTTTTGAGTGAGGTGTGGTGGCACGCGCATGTAATATCAGCATTCAGGAGGCTGAGACTGGAGGATCACTGAGAATTTGAGGCCAATCTGGGCTACAAAGTGAATTCAAGCCCAACCTGAACTGCATAGTGAGACCCTGTCTGAAAAACCAAAACAAAAGCTCATTTTGTTGCTATGCCTGGTGCTAGGAGGATTGTAAGTTCCATTTACAACTAAGTGACCTGGCTAGACTCTTGTCTTCAAATTTAAAAATAAACGAAGGGCTGGCTGGGAATGAATGTTAACTTAGTGTGAAGGCCTCAGTGTTTCCAAAAGCAACATGTTCTTACATGTGTGTACTAGCTAAATTTAATAATGTTTTGGAAACATCAAGGTTTTTTAAAAATTTTCCTTCTGTAGCATATGTAAGAACTTACTGTTTTAGATATTTCTTAGGTAAACTATTTTCAGATTTAATGATGATTAAGTTAATGACTTAGCAAAATGTGATATTGTGATAATTTAATGATTAGGAACTTACACAACTAAAGGTTTTGAATAGCCAAACTATTTGACTATTTATGAATTCTGTGTTTATGAATTCACTTAATAAGTAAAAATCTATTGAAATCTACACTGTGGCCATTTACAGAAATATACAGGGTAATAAAAATTTTGAGTTGCTAATTGTGCACACTTCCAGTGACGTCGTAGTGATGCTTGGCCTTTGTGTTTTGGAGTTTATAGTGTAAAACCAGCATACTTTAGTGGTCTGCTTAGTGCCACATTTTTTTGAGTTTTTGTGCTTGTTGTTTATTTTGCTGTGTAGACAAATGCTAAAGAAATTGGAGGCATTGTGTAATTGGCCTTAGGAGCACATTGTTTGTGTTTGATGAACAAGATTATTTTGAGTTTTAATATTGCAGACCCTGAGTTCAGTGTTAATCAACTGCCAGTACATATTAAGTAAGGTGCCTCCACACAGAGACACATGTATGAAAGAGTTTTGTCTTTAGTAGTTGATGAAAATATTGTGACCAGAGGCTCCTAGTAACATCGTCTATCTTCCTTGGGAACAGTGGTTTGGTATCCAGTAATACAATTTGTAGAAATGTTAAAGAACATAACTACTTGAATGAGAATTTCAAAACTAGTGTGACTTCACATATCAGAAGTATAAATGGCTTTAACTGTAGGAGTCCTTATTCATTCCTGTTGAGTTGATCTGTTTTTCAAGATTAGAGAATGGTAGTTTGGGATATTAATAGAAAATACATGCCGTGTGTGTGTGTGTGTGTGTGTTTTCCCCTTACAGCTTGGTGTTTCACTTAGCAGTTTGGGAGCTATCCCAGCAGCAGCACTGGATCCCAACATTGCAACACTTGGAGAGATACCTCAGCCGCCACTTATGGGAAATGTGGATCCTTCCAAAATTGATGAAATTAGGAGAACGGTCTATGTTGGAAATTTGAATTCCCAGGTAACTAAATTAAAGAAGAAACCAAGTTGCAGTGTCTTTTGTTCTTTTTTTCTTCTTAAAACTCTTATTGGTAAAGTACTGAATACTTAATCTTGAGAAAAGAATACACTATTAAAAGTATCAACTTGGTTTCCTCAGACGACGACAGCTGACCAACTACTTGAATTTTTTAAACAAGTTGGAGAAGTGAAGTTTGTGCGGATGGCAGGTGATGAGACTCAGCCAACTCGGTTTGCTTTTGTGGAATTTGCAGACCAAAATTCTGTACCAAGGGCCCTTGCTTTTAATGGAGTTATGTTTGGAGACAGGCCACTGAAGTAAGAAATCCTAAACAAAGACATTTTAATGATTTTGAAAAACTTAAAGTATGTTGGATGGAATTAAGGCTTTTTTCTTTTTTAATAGTAATTGGCAGTTTGTGGAAAGGAAGACTGTTAAGTATGTAAATGAAATACATGCCATTTTTTAACCTTTCAATTTCTTAAAGTTGGATTAGAGGGCATTTGTCTTTCTCATTTTCTATTTCCAGTGTCTGATATACTATTAATGTTATATAATGTACATAGTAGTGTTAGGTGTTTTCCTATAAGCTTTAATACGGGTTGGTTTTGTAAAACGATTCTAAATTTATGGGCAAGTTAATGTGTAGATTGAATCACAATACTTCCAGTAATAAAGAATTTTGCTAAATTTCAAATTCCATGAAGAAAATAAGTGCTTAGCCGGATATTTTGACTTTAAGATTTGTTCATATGCTTGTTTATAAAAAAAAAAACCAGGGCTGGGGAGATAGTTCAGCAGGATAAGTGCTTGCCTGGCAAGTGTAAGGTCCTGAGTTGGATCCCTGGTACCAAAAAAAAAAAAAAAAAAAAAAAAAAAAAAAAAAAAAATTGATGTTGATTTTCAGATATTCAAGACCAGAAATTCTGTTTCATGTAGGTTACTAAGTCAGGCAGTTTTTATTTATTTAGTAGGTGGTTGTTTTAATTACCCAGTTGAATTTGTGTTTTGCTGCTAAAGGGTGAATAACTGTTCTTAGTAGGTGCTTGTCTTCATTGTGTAATGGGTGAGGCAAGACACATCAGATTCAGAAGAAGCCTCAGAGAAGCTTCTCTTGCCTCGTAGTGGAAGCTTTGTCAGATTCCTTCTACGTTCGAAGTTGTCTCTAAACCATGGAACAGGGTTGCTTAAAATGATGCACATAATACGGAGCTTTCCATTCATCCTGCCAGGGTGTACAGATTAACAGTAAAATCTTACATTGAAGATAAAAAGGAGTCATTTTGATATTGGTATCAACATTATGATTTATTATAATTCTAAGCCTTGGAGACGCTTGCTCTGGTTTATTTGTGCTATTCAAAGAAGTCAGCAAGACCTTAGCTTTTTCTTCTTTTAGCAGCTGATGATGGAAGGTGTGAATGAGATTATTTAGCTATATTTTGCTTCTCAGTTGTCCTCAGATTTTAAGTATGTATCATATAAACGTGTTTCATGTTTTATAAAATATGGTGTGTGTTTGTGATATGCTAATATTTTTAATTTAGAATAAATCACTCCAACAATGCAATAGTAAAACCCCCTGAGATGACACCTCAGGCTGCAGCTAAAGAATTAGAAGAAGTAATGAAGCGAGTACGAGAGGCTCAGTCATTTATCTCAGCAGCCATTGAACCAGGTAAGGCCCACAGCATTGGTGCATAGGTCATAGCCTAAAGATCACAGAACCTTAGGACTTAAAGGAGTTTTAGAATTGTTCAGTCACTTTGTTCTACCAATAAGAAGATTGAAAGTCAAGAAATAGTAAGTGGCTTACTCAAAGAATGCCTTAGCACATATCTGTCCTTTCCTACAGTACCTACTTGAGGCACATTGGCTTGAGTTAATTAGCTCTTTATATTTTAATAACAAAATTGGTGTTTAGAGTGATTTGCTGAAATCAAAATACAAAAGTGTTATTATGAGGCTGAAAAGTGCAGATATGTTTAAACTGTTGGCAATCAAGCAGGTTGCTTTCCTTAAAGTTTTAATTTTAAAGCTAGAAAAGAACTGACTTAGAAAAAACTTCAGATACTCTTTTAGCAAGGTAAATGAACAAACTTCTGTATTGTTAAATAAACCTCTGGATTTTTGAAATTAACACTCAGAACTTAAGCATCAGTCCAAGCAGAATAAATAGAGGAAGAATGTGAAATCACTGTCATAGGAATTGCAGACATGTTTTAATCATACATTATGGCAGCAACAAAATATTACGAACAGCTGTTTATAATCATCTGGTTTGTATGTACTGCTGCAGGGTGGCTGCACTCAACGAGTTTATGCAATGACTTTCTTGGATGTTTCTGAAGGATAATTGCACAGGCGGAGGATGTGCAGAGAGTAGGCCCCTTGCACTATATGTGGTACATTCCACTTGTGCCTAATTATTAACTGGGATCTTTACTTGTTCTGAGCTTACACTGCAAAGTGGTTTTTTCCTCCCAGAGTCTGGAAAGAGCAATGAAAGAAAAGGCGGTCGATCTCGTTCCCACACTCGCTCAAAGTCCAGGTCTAGCTCAAAATCCCATTCTAGAAGGAAAAGATCACAGTCAAAACACAGGTGAGTTTCTCCTGTCATGTTTTTCAATTTTGTATTTAAAATTAGAATTTACGGATTTTAAGATACCAATTTAGCAATTTCATAGTGTTCACCTGAAGTATAGTTACGTTTAGAAACTGTTCTAATACAGTAGGGTGAAATTTTATCTGATAATTTTTAATATTTCAACTAATTTTCTGTTTTAGCCATTGGTTTTCTACTTAAAGATGCTCTGTTCTTGGGCTGCAGTTGTAGCTCAGTGGAAGTGCTTATCTGTTGTGTCAGACCACCATGGGATTGAATTCTAACATCTGAAAAAATAAAAAAGATGCTCTGTTTGATTTTTCTAATAGTAAGCTAGTCTTTACGTAGAGGTGGCAGGAACTTTTCGATCTTCATTTTAAGAAAAGGGCACATATTTAATGGCTATGTAAAAAATACTGTTTGGGTTGCAGCTTTTTTCTCTTCCCCCAGTCCACTGCAGGTCTGGGGGAATACCATCCCAGATGTGGTTCCAAGCAGTTTTCTTTCTCCTGGACCATGTGTTAAGTGGAGTTCTTCAAGTCCTTGGTACTTCTGGTGATAAAAAAGAGCCTTCTCTGCCCACTGCTGAAACCATGCAGTAACATGCAACCTCAGCAGTGGCATTGTACTGTGCTTAAACTCTGTTTCTGTCCTGTTTATCTCATTTTTGATCATAGCTATAGCTTTTTAATTTTGTTTTATTGCTTTGTGTTTGGTGCAGAGGAGACCTCAAAGTGGAAAGCATACCATCAATGAGAAGTACCTTATGAATCCTGTCTTCTGCTGTCTTTAAAAGGGTGGAGTGGGGGCTTTGAAAGGGTTGTAGTGGATTCTGACTGCACATGATGTGACTCTTAAAGAGGGATGGAAAAGTGGGCATGTGTGCTGAGGGTATTAGAAGAGAGGTGATTTATGGGGAAGGAAAGAATTGGAGTACTGTACATTGAGCCTCACAAGTAAGCTCAGTTTAAGTTGTTTTTTCTGTGATGATCAAGGAGATTTCAAGGAATGAAGCAAATTGCTATGATCTTTCTTTAAGTCTAGTTAACTATCTGCTGTTGTATACTTACCTATTCTTAGTTTGCAAAATCTCCTTTAGAGTATTGTTCTTTCTGAGATCCTATAAGGCAAGTTCAGAATCAAGTGAAGGTGATTATTGTATGTACAAAGACTATACAGCAGTCTAGAATCAGTTGGAGAAAGGCAGCAGAGCAGTGACCCTGGCCACCAGATGGGGTATTTCCCTATGTTCATAGGTTGTGGTCAGGGTAGAGAGATCAAGAAATATAAAATTTGGTTGAAGAATAATAAATTCTGTTAGGAAAAAAGAGACCAATGTCCTGAATCTTGTTTTGAGGGATTTATTTATAAGAGAAAGTGAAACTCCCAAGACTGGAAAAACTAAAACTTGACAATCTCGTTGTTTCCTTGATAATCTATGTGAAACATTATGTGGTTTTTGAAATTATAACACATACTTTGTCCACTATCCATTTAAAGTTTTTACTATATATGGCTATATTCTTTTCCACTTTTTTTTATTATTTGGTCTACATTGAAATTTATTATTCTTGATGATCATGTGTAGTTTTATGTTATCTGTGTAGCATTAGAAATTAGTAGGTCTTGGTGCCTGTGTTCCCAAGAATTTTGCTTCTTTTTGATTTTGGCCAGCACATTTTACTTTTATTATAAACACAGCTTTTACAAAGTTCATAAATATAAAATAGGATGATTTCTCTTTAAAGGAAGGGAAGAGACTATATCTTACTGGTAAATATTTGGCTCATGGCTCTTGATCTTGGAGAGACTTTTTTTCCTCTAGGAGTTGGGGAGGGGATGACAGGCTATTCTTGGCTTTCTCTCCGTGCCAGTGGTAACTGGTATTCTTGGGTCTTGGTCTAACTCATTAGAATTAGCAGGAGTCCTTGCTCTTGGGCCCAGACTCTTCTACTTTTACTTCATCTTCACAGTGATCTTCTTATATTATAAATGTGGTATAAAAACAAATATAAAAATTAACTTTAGCAAAACAAATTTTGGCTAACTGAAAAATGTATTTAAAAAAAAGATTTCAAGCTAAGCATGGTGGTGCGTACCTATAATTCTAATACTTGGGGAAACTGATTTAAGTTCAAGCACTGCATAGCCAATTTAGATCCTGCCTTAAAATAAATACATTAAAAAGACTGGGTTTACTGTGAAGATTCTGGGTTCAATCCCAGGAGTGTTAAGTATCACATATATATGTTTGAATATTATGAGTTTGTGGTTTTAGCATAAGTAATAAGTAGTGCCTGGCATGCTTCATTTTGAAAAAAAAAAAAAAAAAACCAGAACACCCAAACCCCACTTTTTCCATTAGGAAAAGTGTCCTGTTCACAATCGAAGTGACAGTTGTTTTTCTTAGAATTTTAGTAATAATGCATTCAATAGCTATGATTGTAGTTGAACCTGTAAAATAAAGGTGTTACAAATCTTACATTTGGTTATACCTCATTTGGTTTTACCTCATAGGTAATGATTTTTATTTTCCTGTTACATTAGAATTGTCCTAAGTTCTGTGTTTCTGTTTGTTGTGACAAACAGTACATGGCCATTTATAGAAATTACTTTGAATCATCTGGGTGTGGTAGCACATGCTTGTGATCAGTCCCAGCACTTGGAAAGCAGAGACACAAGGATTCTTGTGAGTTCTAGGACCCTGTCACAAGAAAATAAAGCAAAAAAGAAATTAAACTATGTAGCCATTACTACCCATCAAGGTGAGTGGAAATCAGCATACAAACTTGCCAAGAGTTAAAGACAATTTATGACATTGAAAACTTAGATTGTGGGAAATAACTATCTTCTATAATAATTTGAGGAATACATTTTTTTTTTTAGACAGGTTCTTCAGTTTGTTTGGTTTTTTTTTTACAGAACCAGGGATTGAATTCAGGCCCTTGTGCTTGCCAGGCAAGCGCTTATTCTACTGAGCTATCTCCCCAGCCCCTCTTCAGTTCTTCTTTTGTAGTTCAGGCTGACCTTGAACCCACTATATAGCCCAGGCTGGCCTTGAACTCATAGAAATCCTCCTGCCTCAGCACCTGAATGTTGGGATTACAAGTGTGCCTGGCCATTTTTCTTGTACTCTTGAAAATATCAGCCTAATTATGATTTAGGAAGTAGATAGCAAGTTCTTTAAAGACAGGCTCTTGCTATGCAGTTCACACTGAGTTTGAACTCAGTATGTAGCCCAGGCTGGCCTCAAACTTGCAGTGATCCTCCTGCCTCAGCCTTCCGACTGCTGGACTTAGAGGTGTACACCATCATACCTGGCTCAAATTCTTTGTTTTGTGCTCTAGAAAGAATATCTGGTGAATTTGCCAGTAAATACACTGAATTTCTAGTAATTTAATCAAATGTTATGGAAGGCAGAGTTTGAATGTTGGTAAGTGCTGTTAGGGTAGGCTTTTAAATTCTTTTAGAAGAGGTCTTAAGTTTTTTACAGTTGTAATTGTGAGAACAAATTTGGATTTTCTAACAGCTTTTTTTCCTTCAGGAGTAGATCCCATAACAGATCACGTTCGAGACAGAAGGACAGACGCAAATCCAAAAGCCCACATAAAAAACGCTCCAAATCAAGGGAGAGACGGAAATCAAGGAGTCGCTCGCGCTCACGGTGAGATTCAGAGAAATTATGAATAATTCTGTCACTAGTTTTGTGATTGATTTTTCTTTGGTGGTTTAAACTTTTAATGAGAAATACAGTTTCTTTCTGATCCTTTTTGTGATAAAGGATTACTGTTGAGTGCCAGTGATTTGAATCTGATGGTAAGTATGATTCATGAGTTCCAGACGCCTCAGCTCAGCTGGTAATTGCTTTGTTGAGCAGCTTCATGTGCCCTGGAGAGCACTGGACTTTCAAATGTATATGCCATGTCTACGGGCATTGTAAATGATTTGCTGTCACTAATTGTTAAAGAGGGAGGTTCTTGGGGGGAGAATTATTTTACTTATCAATTTATTTTTGTTTTTCAAGGGACAAGAGAAAAGATACTCGGGAAAAGATCAAGGAAAAGGAAAGAGCTAAAGAGAAAGATAGAGAAAAGGAAAGGGAAAAAGAGAGAGAGAAGGAAAAGGAACGGGAAAAAGAAAAGGAACGGGGAAAAAACAAAGACCGGGACAAAGAACGAGAAAAAGACCGTGACAAGGACAAGGAAAAGGACAGAGAGAGAGAGCGGGAAAAAGAGCATGAAAAGGAGCGAGACAAAGAGAAGGAAAAGGAACAGGATAAAGAAAAGGAACGAGAAAAGGACAGATCCAAAGAGACAGATGAGAAAAGAAAAAAGGATAAGAAGTCCAGAACACCGCCCAGGAGTTACAATGCATCAAGAAGGTCTCGTAGTTCCAGCAGGTTTGATAATGCTTTCACGTATTTTTGTTTTAACCAAGAGGTTTGATGATGACAAATGAAAATACAAATTTTTAACTATGGGAGAAATTATTTTACACACAGACCCACATGGTAATATTGGAACATTTCTGCACCTTAACTGTAAAATAAATACTTCTTTAGCTGAAGGACTGTTACAGTATTGAATGTGTGAGGAGGGAAAGAGATATTTGGAGAAAAGTATTTGACAAGTTTTAGCTGTCCTTTGTAATGCATAGCCGTGATTAATTTATTATTAGTATTGTTATAATAATTATTTTCTTGCAGGGTAGGTGTTGGAGAAGGAATTTTAGAATTTTGTATCTGTATAATTATGCATGATACATATACGTAATATATTGACCACCTCACATACACATACACATACGTATAGACATAAATATATCTATGTATATTTTGAAATTGACTTCTCGTGTCTATATTTCTTTGGACTAATGTGTTAAATTTCACAAACTGCAAAATAGTTTGTGAAGTTGCAGTGTCATTTCTGTCATCTGTGCTGCTTTAATTTACTTCTCTGTTGGATAGATGACTTAAATTTTGAACTGGGTATGGTAGTTTACACCTGTAACCCGAGCATTTGGGAGGCTGAGGCAGGAAGATTGCTATGAGTTTGAGGTCAGCCTGAAAAACATTGTATACATAGTGAGAACCTGTCTTCCCCCCAAAAAAATCCCCAAATCAGACATTTAAAGTTTGATTTTTACTTTGTCATCTGTTAGTTTCCCCCCGTTGATTGATTAGTAGGTATACTGCCACCAGGTGACAGCAAATTAGCATAGTAGCAGTTACAAATGACAGTCTTAAGATAAACTAAACCCACATACTATATTTTGTATATCATGACTATAAATAAAGGTTCTAATTTGCATCAAAGTGTATCTTAAAAAAATACATGGCTTTAGAAAAAATATTTTTTCATAGCAAACAATTTAAGATAAAGGAATATTTTTCCTGTTCTTAAAATTTGTAAGGCTGGGTGTAGTAGTGCTCGCCTATAATCCCAGCACTGGGGAGGCTGATGTAGGAGGGTTGCCATGAGTTTGAGACCAGCCTAGGCTCCTGAGTGAGATTAAGGCCAGCCTGAGCTGCATAGTGAGACCCTGTCTCAAAAAGACAAAAAAAACCACCCCCCCCAAAAAAAAATTATGAGTTTGAGCCAGGTGCTGTGATGCACACCTATAATCCCAGCTCTTGGGAGGCTGAGGTAGGAGTTTTGCAGCAAGTTTGAGGCCAGCCTGGGCTACATACATAAGTTCAAGGCCAGTCTGGACTATATAGTGAGACCTTGTCTCAAAAACCAGAAACAAAACAAAAAACTGGTGAGTTTGAGAATATATTCTTAATATTAGTCTGATGGATATTGAGAGAAAAAATAAATTGCAGATGCTTTCGTGGCTCACTTTAACCCTCACAAGTTTGTGAGAAGATTGTTATCGGTGTTTTAAAAGTACGAAGAAACTGAAGTTTAGAGAAAAAGTTGAAAGCAGTAGTTGATGTTACAGTGGGGTTTAAAATAGATTTGACTACTGTCAGTTTCTGCACATTGAATCAAACTTTCCCCCCTTGTGTTACGGCTACCAGTTTAGCCCATGGCTGCATTGTTACTCCAGAGTGACTTTAATGATTGTATCATACATGCTTTTGTGATCACATGATTAGATGCAGTCATTCATGGCACCAGATGCTTTGGTTCCCTTTTAATACCCTGAGTAGACTTTTTCTTTTCTCTCCTTTCTCTCTTCTCTCCTCCCTCCTCCCTCTTCTCTCTTTTCCTCTCCCTTCCTGTCTCTTCCCCTCCCCTCTCCTCTCCTTCCCTTTTCCTTTTTTTCTTTTCTTTGGGTATTGGTGATCAAACTTAAGACCTTGCCCTTGCCAGACAGGTGCTGGTGCTGTCGAATATACTTCTTCTGAAGACTTCAGAGTGTTTAATTTTGGGGGGTGGGAATGTGACTTGGTGCTCTTGCTTTGCATGTGCAAGACCTTGGGTTGGATCCCCAGTACCACAAAAACAAAAAGCAAACAAAAGGTTTAATTTTTTACTGACCATTTTTAGTCACTTGATCTCGTAAAAGTTCAGATGGTCACATTTAATCCTATTTAATAGGAGATGGTTAGCAGCTAGTGTTAATTCATAAAAGTTCACCAATTGGGAATGTTTTTCCTTCAGAAAAGTTCAACAAAGATAACTTCTCAATTATTTTGCATTTTGCAGTATCAAGATGGTTTTGAGTAGGAGATGTTCTAACTCTCAGAAACAGACTTCACATTTTCATTCCCAGCATCATCTCCCCGTATTGCAGTGTGTCTGGAATGCGGGGGTAGAACCCTGCTCTTTTCACATTCACCTGTCTCCCCAGCTACAGCACCTTTTTTTTTGTAAGAAGAGACGGTGTCTTGCTAATTTGCCCAAGCATTGACATGTTTTACAGTATAAAAGTGTTGCCCAATAGATATTTTTAAAGAACATTTTAATATTTGAAAAACAATTCAGTGCTTAAAAGCTATTACCAGTAAAAATGAGTCCATGAAACAGAAGAGTTCTAGGAGTATAGCCCAGGCTCTGGGCTTGGCTGTCAGCATTTGGGGGGGGGGGGGATGTTTATTGAATATCTACTTTGTGCCAGACTCTATGGTTGGTACTTAAGGTATGATCCTGTGGTCTTATAACAACAGGTAAGACTTATTCTATTTTACAGTTGAATAAACAGTCCTCAGGTTAAATAATGTCGGTGTTCTCAAAGGTCTTGAGTTTCTTTAGTCCTTTTGAACATCTACCGTATATACCTTTAATAATAGTAACTTTATTAAGTTTTTAATTTTAGAATGAAAAATAAGAGATGATAAGGAGCATTTTGAAATCAAACAGGTTGATTTGTTTCAGCTACTATGTGTGTGGTCACTGATTCTCTGAGCTTTTTATGAGAGATTATTGAATATGTTGATCATTTAATTTGTGTACCCTTATAGCGTGTCCCTTCAATTATGGACATGGTGAGGTTGTTTCTAAGTTGATCACTCTTAAAATGAAGTAATTCATACTATGCAACATTTGCTAATAGCACAAGATTTTAATACTGAACATTGTTAATTTAGCAACTCTTACTCTGCCATATTTAAATCCTAGATTTTTTTTTTTTTTTTTTTTCTTTTTTTGGTTTTTTTGAGACTGGGTTTGCTGTGCAGTTCAGGCTGGCCTCAGACTTGCAATAGTCCTTCTGCCTCAGCCGCCCAAGTGCTGAGATTGTAGGCATGTGCTACCATGCCTAGCTTTAAATCCTAGATTTTAATTAAGTTAACTTGTGCAATTTTAATTTAATAGGATAATAATAAAATCATAGGTTGGAGGAAAAGCAAATTTTCTATAATATATGATTTAAATGCATTTTTGTAGTGCTTGAGCTTAGATCACATTTTACAAGCTGACTTACTCAGTTCTTAAGAACGTGTTTGTTACAAAATAATCCACAGTGGGGCAGCAGGGAGCTAGGTACATGGCAGAGAGTCTTCTGAAAGGCAAAAGGTGTTACAGATGCTGCAGAAGAACAAATTTGAGACACTCTGAAACATCGTGTATAAACATTTATGTTTTTCTACTCAAGAAATTTTAGGGACTAGAGATGTAACTCGGGCATAAGGCCCACGGTTCATCATCAGCACTGCAAAAAACCCAATAGGAAACCTAAATAAGTACAACAAGCTAAATGAACAGGCCTCTGAGGAGGGCTACCTACTTGAGTGTATCATAAACTCTTTTTGTCTTACATATTTGACTTGCTTATTATTTCAGTTGTTCAATGACCCATTTTTGGCTTTCAGGGATAGGCGCAGGAGGAGAAGCAGGAGTTCTTCCAGGTCACCAAGGACATCAAAAACCATCAAAAGGAAATCTTCCAGGTCTCCGTCTCCTAGGAGGTTAGTTTTTGGAGGCATGCTCTAGAACTAAAGAAGCAGCAGGAAATTGAAAAAAAAGGTCTTTTTAAAATTTTGTATTTTAAATGAGTAATAGCCTTTATATCCTTCAGAAATTTATCTTAGGGGCTGGAGAGATGGCTCAGTGGTCTAAAGCACCTACTTAGAACAAGCTTAGCAAAGCATCAGGGACCGCGGTTCGATCCCCCAGCACCACA